TCTTTAATTCTCACAAATACATATATCACAGCAGTGTTAATTTTGACGTCAAAATTCAATTTTTTTTAGCCAAAGTCTTTTGACTAAAATGCCATTTTAGTTTTAGTTGTATTTTAGTCATCTGAACTGTTTTAGTTTTAGTCATATTTTAGGTGATTAAAATCTCCAGTACATTTAAGTCAATTAAAATTTCCAGTATCATAAACAAACAAAAATATTATTTTTTTTTGATAAACATAAGTGCAACTTTAAAATATAAAAAAAGAAAAACTGTGAACTCCATTGATGGTAATGCCAAGGCACATATTACCTGAATGTAAAAATGTTAACAGTTCTCTATTAAGTAACAATATGTTGACTAAAAAATGCCATTTTAGTTTTATTTAGTGTATTTTAGTCATCTGATTTGAAACTGAATTGTATTTTCGTTTAGTTTTCATTATTGAAAACATGTAGCTGATGTACACTTTGGAGAAAATATTTTAGTCAATGAAATTACCACTGTACCACAGCTGCGATGTTTCAGGTATCCTTGCCTTTTTTTTCAAGCTGAGTGCCAGTTCACATATATGTGGATTGGATGTGGTTTGGACAGCACCCAATCCGCATGACATGTGAAAAAGTATTGCTCCCTATAGTGTCTGTTCACATATGTCTGGTGCAATGGCAGTGGGGATTCAGTGTGGATTCAGTGCAGTTTGAAATAGAATCATGCAAGATTTCTGAGCAGTGCCTTAAGGTTCAGGTGTGGATTACAGGCTATTGACTTTTATGGGAACCATTTCTAAACCGCATATGTTTGAACAAGATAAGATACTGAGCTAATCCTGTCCTGAACCTGATGCAAACCTGACATGAACCACTGAACAACTACTGTATCAATTAGCTGTAAAACCTGAGCTTTAATCTGCACCGCACATGTATGAATCAGTTCTGAATAGCAACATAAAACATACCCCTTAAAAAAAGGTAATCTGGAAATAACATATGTTGAAACATATTAATCCTTTGCTGACAAATTCATATACAACAGCAAAATAGCCATGTAACAATATGACAAAAACATGAGTAAATACTGATCACAAAGTAAAGTCATCAGTAAAGTATTTATACTCCAGGATGAAATCAGTAACAAAAATAAAAATATAAGCGCATTAAAAAAATAAATTTGAATCAAAATCATAATTTAACCATTCAATTGGTTTTAGAAAACATAGAAGATACAGAATATTAATAGATTCTTGATCATAGACAATGTTAAATTGGATCTGTGGATGAATACTGTTAGTATATATATCAAATTCCAATAGAGAACCAATGTAACCCTGCCACACCATGTACATTTCATCAGTGTAGAGCCACAATACAACACAGTGCATTCCACAATGGAGGTTCTTCAAGATTTTCAAGGCGGGTTATCCAGATCAACAGTGAGGGGTGGATTTACTAAAGGCAAATAGACTGTGCACTTTGCAAAGTGCAGTTGTACTCTGCAAGAGCAGTTGCTCCAGAGCTTAGTAAATGAGCAGAAGCTCTGCTGACTTCCATTATCCAATCACATGCAAGCAAAAATGCTGTTTTTTTTTATTTTCCTTGCACGTGATTGGGTATTCTTTGCAAAGTGACGCTGTACCTCATTTACTAAGCTCTGGAGCAACTGCTCTTGCAGAGTACAACTGCACTTTGCAAAGTGCACTGTCTGTTTGCCATTAGTAAATCAACCCCTGAGTGTCTTGTCTGATGGTTCAGAGTCTTCCATCTCCTTATCTATGGAAAAATAGTATTTTTTTTAGGAGGTACAAAGACAGTCCAAAGACACATGGCCACTGAATGAGAAGTGGACACCAGGAAGGCAGAAAAACATCATTGGAGCAAGAAGCGGGGTGTCGCTGTGTGTCAACAATCACACAATATTTGATCCACCAGTAACAAAGAAGGACTTAATAATTAATCTATTGCCCTGTGATTTGACAGCAAATGAGAGATCCCACTTAGGGAAGGTTTGGGCTTTAGCCCTAAAACCAATATGATATGTTTTTGCTTGCACAGGAAATGTATAGACTATTCAAAAATTTGAGTGTTAAAGTACAGTATTCACTGAAATTTTATTTTGATTCGGTTACTACTGGTAAACCTCTAGGCAAAACTTCACATGCAATATGTAGGGACCTTTTCCCTACATACTGCTTATGAAGTTGCAGAGCTGTTAATTAAAACAATGGAAAATTATGTTTAAGAAATTCTCTTTATACATGATTTATGGGATTGTGTTTAAAATAACTCAACAGAAGATGGGAAGTAGGAAATAGAGATGTTGACTAAAAGATTTGAAATAACAGTGAAAGCTGCTGATAAAGAGGGTTCAGTGGTGGTTCTTGATATGTGGAAGTGTATTAAAAAATTGGCCACTGATCCTGGGCTTTTACTACATAATTGATACAGCTTCATTTCTAAAGTGGTTTCTGGGTATCTTTGGATGAAAAATCTCAGTACGGTGATCTATATGTTACCAAAGGTGCACAAGTGCCCCCCCCCTTCCATGTCCACCAGGGGTCTGCGTTTGTAAGATCTGATGTTTATTGCATAGATTTTTAGCTCCCTTGGTTCAGGGACAAGAGCAAACATTTGCGACACTGCTAACTTTTGTTCAAGTGTCCCTTATGGATGTTGCAAGCCTGTATACTGTACATACATGATTTTTTCAATTGGTTAATGTGCTATCTCCATCTAATTGGGTTAAGCTTACAAGTGTGTATAATAATTATTATTTTTCTTTGTATGCCCATTTTAATTTTTTAAACTTTTTTTTATAGTTTCCTAATAACCAAGTGTTTTATAACGTTAAAAGTAATAGGTTTTTAGGACCGAGGAGCAACCTGTTTGTCCACCCGCCCCATCCCTCCCATTCTCCCGCCCCTTTTGCTGATATAAAACTGCCGGTGAGTCTTTAGGGTTAAGGTCTAATGAAGGAGCCCTTTGAGCATGCTCTGAAAAGCGTTACTGCCCCCAACTTATGTCACCTCCGACATATGCTTTCCACAACTCCTCCCAAAATTTTACAGCCATCTTAGTTTCAACATCCCTGCCTTCCATGGATCATGCTGCCGCTGGACAGCCGGATGGCCCTTAAACCCATACCATCAGGAACATCAGGTAATTTACTATGATGAGCCTGTCATGTTTTGACTTCCTGTATGTGTAATTTTTGTCTTTGTATGTTAATAAACTGCCAATACTACACTCAGAGGCAGGGGTGGACTGACAACTCATGGGGCCCCCGGGCAATAGGGGATCATGGGGCCCCTGTGTCCTTGCCCAAACTCAAAAAAGCCTATGAAAAAAGGTACCAGGGGCATCTCATGGGGCCCCCTACTGACCTCGGGCCCTTGGGCAGTGCCCGAGTTTCCAAATGGTCAGTCCGCCCCTGCTCAGAGGCACCTTCTTTCCATGTCTTTTTGCACTAGAGCTTTGCCTCCAACTCTATGAAGAGCTGTCTCAGTGTGTGTTGGGCTTCCCTATCCTTGATATCCATTCTGGCACCCCCTTAGTAGCTACAGAGGTCTGGTTCCAGCAGAAGCGCCCTATGGACTATACACCATACTGAAAAGAGGGGGTCATCATATCACTGTTTCCAAAAAAAAAAAAAAATATTTTCAATTAAACACATCACTGAAAGAGTTAAATTCTGATTTTGATTTGCATTTATTTTGCTAATATGCTTTTATTTTTATTTTTGTTACAGATTTCATCTTGGAGTATACTGTATATACGGCATTGATCCTGCTTCGTGATCAATGTTTATGCCTGCCTTTGTTATATTTTTACATGGTTGATTTGCTATTGTATTTGAATCTGTCAACAAATGGTTACTATGTTTCAATCCACTGTATGTCATTTCCAGATTACTTCTTTTTATGGAGTAGGTCTTATTTCAGTATTAAGCTTGAAAAAGGTAGAGATGCCTAAATGTCCCCTGCTGTGGTAAATGTACTTGTGAGCAATAAACAGACCTCTCAATTTTTAAAAATTTGTATATATTTGTTTCTATGCAAGTATATTTCTGAAATCAATAATAGTAAAACAAAAAGGTGAAAATCAAACATATAAGATTATAATGATTATTCAAAACAGATAATGGATTACTAAGCATCCTAAGCATGCATGTAAATGCTGATGTAGAAAAACTGTATTTGTCAATACAAGTTTGTGGTGTCATAGGAGGATTTTTAGTTTGTCCTATTGAAACAAATAGTATCTTTGATGGATAAACAGCATAGTTTATATAGTCTCTGTCCTAGATTGTGCTAGAATATGATTATGTTATTTGAAACATGGTTAAATAAAGTGTGCTATAAAACTTGCCTCTGTTTTTGCAATTGGTCAAACTACGCTATGTTTGCTGTAAAGTGATGTGGTGCTTCATCACAAAAAACACTTCAATACAGGTTGTTTTAAAATGGCCTAGAGATAAGAAGTGGTTAAGAAATACTGTGCTGATTAAGTATGTCTTTTCTTGAGGCTGTGCAAGATAATAATGCATGCATATTTTTTGTGTCTTCCGGCAAATGGATCTATCCTAAACTTCCCTCAAACTATCTTCTTGTTTTGCTCAACAATCTTCACATTTATAAATTGTCATGCTCTTAGAGCTCATGTGCATTAAAGGCATGCAATAGAATAATAATACCAACACTTCTAGAGTATGGGGTACTTTTCAATTTATAAAGGATATGTTTACGGAACTATCATAACAACGGAAAAGATGCATTTCTGCTTTCTTGTTGCTATTATGATGAGGATGGTAAAATAAGACTCTTCTCCTTTCCACCCTCCACCCTCTTGTTGTGTTATACTCTTTCTGCGTTATATACCGTATTTTCCGGCGTATAAGACGACTGGGCGTATAAGACGACCCCCTACTTTTCCTGTTAAAATATAGGGTTTGAGCTATACTCGCCGTATAAGACTACCCCTCTTCCAACGCACACCAAATAAAAAAACATCAGATTTGATTTCAATATGGTATGGTATTTCAGTATGGTATTCCAATGATGGGGGTGCTATTTCTCCCACTGACACCAATGATGAGGCACTACTCCTCCCCTGACACCAATGATGGGGCACTATTCCTCCACTGATACCAATGATGGGACACTATTCCTCCCACTGAAACCAATGATGGGACACTATTCCTCCCACACACCAATGATGGTGCCCCATCATTAGTGTCAGTGTGTGAGGAATAGTGCCCCATCATTAGTCAGTGGAGGAATAGTGCCCCATCATTGGTGTCAGTGGGAGGAATAGTGCCCCATCATTGGTGTCAGTGGGAGGAATAGTGTCCCCATCATTGGTGTCAGTGGGAGGAATAGTGCTCCATCATTGGTATCAGTGGGGAGGAATAGCGGCCCATCATTGTTATCATGGGAGGAATAGCACCCCATCATTGGTGTCAGTGGGAGGAATAGCACCCCATCATTGGTATCAGTGTGAGGAATAGCGCCCCATCGTTGGTATCAGTCGGAGGAATAGTGCCCCATCGTTGGTGTCAGTGGGGGAGGAATAGTGCCCCATCATTGGTGTCAGTGGGGAGGAGGAATAGTGCCCCATCATTGGTGTCAGTGGGGAGAACAGTGCCTCATTGTTGGTGTCAGTGGGGGAGGAACAGTGCCTCATCGTTGGTGTCAGTGGGGGAGGAACAGTGCCTCATCGTTGGTGTCAGTGGGAGAGGAACAGTGCCTCATCATTGGTGTCAGTGGGAGAGGAACAGTGCCTCATCGTTGGTGTCAGTGGGGGAGGAATAGTGCCCCATCATTGGTATCAGTGGGAGGAATAGTGCCCCATCATTGGTATTAGTGGGGAGAACAGTGCCTCATCGTTGGTGTCAGTGGGAGGATAGTGCCCCATCATTGGTATCAGTAGGAGGAATAGTGCCCCATCATTGGTATCAGTGGGGAGGAATAGTGCCCCATCATTGGTATCAGTGGGGAGAACAGTGCCTCATCGTTGGTGTCAGTGGGGGTAGGAACAGTGCCCCATCCTTGGTGTCAGTGTGGAGGAGGAATAGTGCCCCATCGTTGGTGTTAGTGGGGGAGAGGAGCGGCTGCTCCTTCTTCCAGTGCGGCCGCTCGATTTTCGCGGGGCTGCTCGGCTCCGCTCCTCGCCGGTGATTGGTCGCCTGTGTGCCTTTCCAGTGCTGGCGCCCAATCACCGGCGAGGAGGCGGAGCTGAGCGGCCGCGTGACCATCGAGCGGCCGAACTGAAAGAAGGAGTAGCCGCGCTTCCTGGACCGGATCGTCGTGGGACCGGAGCCAAGTAAGGTACAGCAGCCCCTCTGTCCACCCCTGTACTCAGTGTCCGTTGGAGGAGGAGGGGGGGCGGCGCGGCGCCGCCCCTCAAAAAAGTGCCGCCCGGCGTATAAGACGACCCCCGACTTTTCAGAAGATTTTCAGGGGTTGAAAAGTCGTCTTATACGCCGGAAAATACGGTATATCGTTTTTGTACCAAATATATATGCAGCATTATTACTATAAAAAAACATTGAGTACATTAACAGTAAAATCATGATATCATATAGAGTCATGGCCTGGACTGAGCGAAGCCATGACTGGGGTTTGTAGACAAGATGGAGATTGGATTTGGTTGGGAGGATATTCAGTAGGTAGGGGTGGTTACTCACCTGATTGGAGTATTTGAGCTTTAGGGTGGACTTTCCAGGATGAGGAGAGGGGGTTGGGACTTGTCGGGTGTCAGTCGGAGCTTGTGCCAGCACAGATGAGGTCTCTCCCCGCCCTCCCTCCCTGGGCCTTTTTCGTTGTTTTGTTTTGTTGGTTTTTTTTGTTTTTTTGTTATTGGTCCTTTTTGTTTGTCGTGTTGTTTGGTTTTGTGTGGGTTCGTTGATTTTGTTTTCTTTCCTTGATCGGAATTTTGTGCCTTGGGGTGTTTGTCTGGCATTTTTGTTTTGTCATGGCAGCTAGCAGGGGTTGCTGGGTCTTTGAAAGCGGTGCTGGAGTGACAATTTGGTGGATTATGGGTTCCGATGGGCCCATCATTGGTAAGTCGGGTGTTCCTTCCCAAGTATAAGGTTACATTGGTAAGGTGGTAGTTAATGGGCTGTATCTGGGACTACATAGCTGTAGTATTGTTCCCGAGGCAGTGTGGTAGTGGCTGGGGGCCTTTTCATTGGGTTGTGTCAGATACAACCGAGTTATTGATGTGAGTAACAGTGCCTTCAAAGACCTTGGCCCTGGTTGGGATCATTACTGTCAGTTATTATGTGATTGTACTGTATGAAGTGTTATGTAAGGGTTATGTTACATAAATGGGCTGCTATGGGCGATTTTACACCAAAAGGAGAGTCGCGTGGTTATTTCAGCTGGGAGAAGGTTGATGGGGTGGTTGTTTTATTGGTTAGGTGGTAAGTATTAGCCTCGATATTTCTGCATGTCCCTCAGTGACGGAAGGCTCATGACTAGAGATGAGCGAAGTATTCAAAAATTCGATTCGGCTGATTCAGCGAATTCGAGGAATAAATTCGATTCGATGCGAATATATTCGCTGCGATTTTAACTTATTAAAAAGGGTGTTTCTAGGCTTCAGAGAGCCTTTATCTTAGTGCAGAACACTGTACCTTTAATTTTAAATGCCCTTGGAGTCTGCTGGGGAAGAGAAATAATACTGTCAGTCAGTATGACATGCAGATGAGTGCCGTCGATCTTAGAATCACCGCACACTTCACTCATTTGGGCAGTCACGGGGCAAAAAACCAGAGTGTGGAGCCACCACAGTGCGGCGGTGGAGGCAGCAGCCAATGGGAGGCCATACAGCACCCTAATGACAAAAATGGAACACACCAGAGCAGTGTGAGGGAGACCTGAACGTGGCACATGGCAGAGTGTGGCGAATGGAGACAGCAGCAATGGGAGGCCGTACAGGGACCAATGACACACTCTGGACCTGGCAGGAGCATT